GCGAATGCAGCATCGGAGCTGGCACATCCGTGGTTGACAGCGAGTCGAATCTGGCACACTGCCGCTCAATCCGGTTTAATCCAGCTAGATCCTGCTCAATCGGGCGTGTTCTAATTCTGTGCTTAATTGGGAAGGCCTCACGGCCGGTGCCGCCGACCCTGAAGAGGGACGACGACGATGACGACGACGACGACGACGACGACGACGATGGCGGCGGTGGCGGCGGCGACGGCGGCGACGACGACGACGACGACGACGACGACGCAGACGTGGGCCAGAGTCCCCAGGGATGCTTCGTGGGGCCTCGTCGGAGAGAGCTCGTAGGCCTCTGGCGGGCAGTTTGGGGGCCTCTTAGGAACATCTTGGGGGCCTCTTGGGAGCCGCTTGGGGGTCTCTGCGGGCTTCCTCGGGGCCTCTTGTGGGCGCCTCCTGGGAGCTTCTCGGAGCCGAGGGCTCGACATGTTCGTTCGGGCTCCCGTGTGGGCACTCTCTCGGAGCCGTTGTGAGGCCCTCCTAGGTCGTTTCGGGGCCGTCTTGGAAATCTATTGGGGGCCTCGTGCAGTTTCTTTGTCGTATGTTGGGCCGTCTTGGGGCGCCGGGAAGCCGAGAAAGGCGAGAACACCAAGATCTTTCAAAAACCTTACCATATGTGACGTCTTGGACCGATCGTTCGGCGATTCGGGGCGTTCTTGGACCGTCTTGGGGGCCTCTGAGGCTGTCTTGGGGCCTTTTTCGGCCCAGGACCCCCTGGGGGCAGGATGGCATTCTGACCCAGGACCCCCCCCCTCCACCTCGACTTCGGGTTGATCCGCTTTGGCTGGCACGCATGAGGTTTCGGTTCGGTTTCGCTGCGGCTGGCGCGCTGGAGGAGGACAACACAGTGATTGCGACGACGACGACGACGACGACGACGGCGGCGACGACGACGACGACAGCGTCTTTCACGCCGAAAGGTCGGCGGATTCCTTGTGCTTCGCGTATTCCCATCAGCCCAGTCAGAATCGTTGCCCATGAGATCTGGCTGGAGACGGGAGGACGAGGCACAGTGAAGCGAAGCGGGCAAGGATAGGAGGGGTAGGATCAAGGCTTCCCAGATGGGGCCTGAGTAGATGGGGTCGGAGGGTCGCGCCGCATCGCCGATGCATCGCCGATGCGGCTCGGTGAGGGGCCCGATTCCCCGATGCATCGCCGATGCCTCGCCGATGCGGCGCAGTCCTCCGACCCCGTCTGCTCCGACGCCATCTGGGAGGCCTCTGATCGATCAGGGGAGGAAACGGTACCGATACCGCTACCTTCCCTCTTTTTCGCCTTCGTGGGCTTCCTGGGAGGCCCTCGTCGCCGCCGCTGGATTCGCCTTGAAATCCTGGTCAGAACGCAGACCAGGAGGGGCTATGTGAGTAGCGGTATCAGTACCTTGTGGTCTCCCGAGGGGGCCGCTTTGGGGGGCCGCTTTGGAGGCTCGGAGGCCCAGCCTTCTCGTGGAGCCAGCGCAGGGGCGGCGAAGGCAGGCGGGGGGGCGAGCACGGAGAAGCGTCGGGCGCCGCAGGCCAGGCCGAGGAGGAGCGGGAGGACGGCGAGGGCAGGAACGGGGGCAGGAGCGAGGACAGGAACGAGGAGAAGGAGGAGGAGGAGGAGGAGGAGGAGGACGATGAGGATGACGACGACAAGACGAGGACGCGGACGATGACGAGGAGAGCGAGGACGAGGATGAGGAGCACGAAGAGGAGGAGGAGGAGGAGGAGGAGGAGGAGGAGGAGGAGGAGGAACACAACGAGGACAAGATCTCGTCGAGCCATCTTGGGGTCTTCCTGGGGCACTCTTGTTGTCCTCTTGCAGTTTGCGTTGGGTCCTCTCGGGGCCCTCCTCGGGCCCTTTTGGAATCTTTGGGGGTCCTCATGAGCCTTTTTAATGTGTTTGGGGGCCTCTGGAGGCTCTGTAAGGCCTCGTGGGGCCACCTTGTAGGGTGTCGATCAAAGGAGGGGAGGTTCTGGATTTGCCTCCCCCCGCCGGGGCCGTCACATTGCCTCTCATGGGGCGCTCTTGGACCGCCGATCTCCTGGGCACTCTTGGGGCCGTCTGGGGGGCCCCTCTCGGAGCCCGGTGGGGCCACCTCGAGGCCTCCCGAGCGCATCGGACGCGAAAGGACGAGGAGTCTCGCCTGCCCAACTCAGGGGGCAGATCGCACAAACCATGGATGTTCCGTGGTTTTTGCCTTCGGGGGGGGGGGCTTGGGGGGCCACGACGAACACCCGGAGCCGTCTTGGAGCGGTCCATAAGGCCTTCTTTGAGCATGTCGGACGTCATATCCGGCTACTCCAGATTTCGTAATAAAGGGAGGGGGGTCTCATTTCGGGGGGGTCTCTTCCAGGCTATCTTGGAGGGCCTGGGGGGGTCTGGGGACGATGTTTTGGAGGGTTCTCCCACGGGGGGGGGGTCTAAAACTTCTCGTCTGGGAGGGTTGAGACCCCCTCCCTTTTATCACGAAATCTGGAATATCTTGAGCCATCTTCCATCTTGGAGCATCGGGCGCCCTCGTGGAGCCATCCTGGGCCATCGCCATCTTGGGCGCCCTGTCCGCTCGCGAAACCTCCGACACACCTCAGGGAGGGGAGGGGGAGGGTACCCCTCCCCGAATGGAAGAGGGCTTTGAAAGCCACCCTTCGGGTGATGAGGAGGTTGTGGGGGGAAAGAGCCCACTGATGACAACGTCGATGATTGTGATTGTGACGATGTTGCTGGTGATGCACTCACGAGTTGGCGACAGTGCGTGACGGCGATGCTAACGACAATGCGTCGGCTGAATTGCAACCGAGTGGGTTGCATTCGATTGGATCGCAAGGGATTGGGTCGAGACACCACCCTAACACATTAACACATCAGGACACCACCGGGACACCATCGAGACCATCGGGACACAATCGTGACACCATCCTGACACCATCGGGACACCAATCGGGACACCATCCTGACACCATCGGGACACCATCGGGACGCCAATCGGGGCACCAATCGGGACATCAATCGGGAACCAATCGACACACCAACCAGAACACCACCGGGACACCAAGCGAGACACCAATCCAGAGACGAATCGGGACACCAAGCGAGACACCAATCGGGGCACTAGTCGGGACACCACCAGGACACCATCGAGACAGCGTCGGCACACCACTGGGGCACCGCCGGGGCCCCAATCTGGTCACTGCAGGGCACCACAAGGACACCACGGGACACCATCGGGACACCACGGCGGGACATCACGTCGGGACACCCCGCGGTCACCGCCCGCCACGCGGCCGGGGCTGGGGCGGGCTCGTGTCCTCGCCGCGTCCTGGCAAGACGATGGATGGTTCACTCGTCTCGCCCGCCCGCGCAGCTTGGCTTCGCCCGCACGCACGGCACAACACCGAGACCGAGTTCCTGAGGGGTGGCTCTCCGTTTCGCGGCGCTCTCACCCCCAAGCTCTGATCGTTAGACCACCTACGCCCGGAGGGCTGGTGGGATTCGGGCCACTGCTGGCTGACTGGCCCCTTCTCCTCGAAGCGTTCGGAGCGTTAGACCACCTGCGCCCGGAGGGCTGGTGAGATTCGGGCCACTTTTTGGTTGACGGACCCCATATCCTTGAAGCGTACCTGCAAAGGCCTCCCAGAAGTTGCCTCCTGACCTCTCCTCGAGCCTCCTGTGAGGAACATCCTGGAGGCCTCGCACAGCGCGCAATAGTTGTAGCATCCGCTCCGTACGATGCGGGCCGACGTTCGCGCGGCGATGCTCCGACGAAGTCCGACGTGAGACCGACATAAATCCGACGTAAATTGACGGGAACCACACGCAACTGCGACGTGGATCCGACGGGTTTCTTGGGCTTCGATGCTTTGGCCATGGAAGGCGTGACGTCCCCGCACGAAAATCAGTGGACGCCCTGCGGTCTCAGGGTCAGGCTTCTTGTGGAAGGTTTCTTGTGGACTGGCCGCCGCTGCAACTCCGACGTAGTCTGACGGGCACCACACGACGATCCGACGTGGATTCGACGCAAGTTGGGCCTCAAGTTGCCACGCGAGGCATGTTGGATTTTCCTCTGTGGCAGTGGAGGCCCTTTCGCCCATGCCAAGAAATACCCTGCTCGCCTCCAGGGTGCTCTGGGTTTTTTAGGTTTCGATGCTTCTCTATGGAAGGCGTGACGTCCCCACACGAAAGATCCGTGGACGCCCTGCGGTCTCAGGGTTGGGCTTCTTGTGGAAGGTTTCTTGTGGACTGGCCGCCGCTGCAACTCCGACGTAATCTGACGGGCACCACACGACGATCCGACGTGGAATCGACGTAAGTTTGGTCCCAAGTTGCCACGCCTCTTGGATTTTTCTTTGAGAACCTCAGGAGGGGAAAAACACACACAGGCAACATTCATCGGCGACTCCCAGGAACACATTTGGGACATTGTGGGACGTTGGGGGGGAGACGAGATCCCAGAGAACGTGGGGAAAGTGGCGGATCCTGTGAGTTGTGCCTACTTATTTGTGTGCCTTTGGGCCCCTCGAAACCCAGACATGCGACGTCCTGATTTTTTCAGGACGGCGTCCCCGGAAGTCCAGACCCTTTCCTGGGGGCCAGTCTTTCATCCTGCATCGTTTTTGTTTGACGGCCCCGAGGCCTGGTAAGGGCCACCTGGGGCCAAACATAGCGACACTTTTGCGGTCCTGATTTTTCTCCGTCCATCATGTCTGGAACCTCCCCCCGATATGCGGGGCGGCGGTGGAGTGCGCGGAGGGGGGTCGAACATCTTCTGCGCAGCGTCAGGGGACGAGGAAAGGGGTCCACACAACAGGAAGGCTGCCCTCCCTTCTCCCCCGACGCTGCGCAGAAGATGTTCGACCCCCCTCCGCGCCATTCCACCGCCGCCCCGCATACAGCCGCCGCGCCGCGCTCGGCAGCGCTCCCGGCAGGCTGCGGGGCACCTTCGCGGCCTACCTCCACGAGCGGCTGCAGGGCCGGGGGGCGGTGGAGGCGGCCCGGGCCGCCAACGGCGCGCGGCGGGCGGCGTGGGGCCTGCGGGGCCCGCGGCTGCGCTGCGCCTGGGAGGAGCCCCGGGGCCGGGGGAAGCAAGCCATCCTCCTCCTCCTCCTCCTCCTCCTCCTCCTCCTCCTCCTCCTCCCTCCTCCTCCTCCTCCTCCCTCCTCCTCCTCCTCCTCCTCCTCCTCCTCCTCCTCCCCCCCTCCTCCTCCTCCTCCTCCTCCTCCTCCTCCTCCTCCTCCTCCTCGTCCTGTTCCTCACAGGATTGTCCAGAAGCCTCGATCCTCGGGCCCCGGCCGTTGCTTGCCTGCGGCACGAACGTCGGGGGCGGCAAAGAGGGGGGTGATGACTAGGGGGGGGGGATTTCAGGGCGCGGGCCATGATGTTTCCTCAGGTTTCAGGGCGCCTCTTCTTATTTCATGACGTCCCAGGCCCCCCCCGCTGGGCCGCGCGCATGCCGCCGGTCATGATTTGCACCCCCCCCCCTCTTGGACACCCCCCTCTTGGCCGCTCCCGAATCTTCGGGATCCGATCCCCATCCCTCAGCGAGCGAAGAACGGTATGAAGTAAACTTTTTCGCCGTCGGGGACACTGGCCCCTGGGCGGCTGGGAAGTGTATACCCCTACGGTTCCACCGCCACCGTAAGGGTATAAACTTTCCAGCCGCCCTGGGACAGGTGTCCCCGACGGCGAAACAATTATTTTATACCGTTCTTCGCCCGTTAAATCCCATCCCCATCCCCTTCGAGACCCCCCAGTTGGGAATGCACCCCTCTCGAAGCCCGAAGGGAGCGGCCCAGCTGGGGCCCAGGCCACGCCGCTGGGGATGGGGATCGGTTGTACGATGCTCAGAGGCGGGGGTCAAGGCAAACGGGGGTCAGCCAGAGCGCCTGATCTTGCAGGATCCTGCAGATCCAGCCCGATCTTGCAGGATCTTGCAGGGCCACGGTCGCATGGACACGGGTATGGGTGCAGGATCCTGCAGGATCCTGCAGGAGCCTTCGCATTGGCCTGGGTTTGGGTGCTGGCTCTTGCAGGATGTTGCAGGATTATGCAAGGCCTGATTGACCTGGATTGACCCGGGGCAGAAGATCCGCGACATTTAGGCCTCCTAGATGGGGTCGGAGTAGATGCGGTCGGAGGATCGCGCCGCATCGCCGATGCATCGCCGATGCGGCTCGATGTCGAGCCCGATGTGCTTCACGGCGACGTCGCCGATGCATCGCCCGCGTCGGCGATACATCGCCGGTGCATCGCTGGTGCATCGCCGATGTATCGCCGATGTATCGCCGATGTATCGCCGATGCATCGGCGATGCGGCGCGATCCTCCGACCCCGTCTACTCCGACCCCATCTAGGAGGCCTCTAATCGATCAGGGGAGGAAAAGGTACCGATACCGCTACCTTCCCTCGTTTTCGCCTTCGTGGGCTTCCTGGGAGGCCCTCGTCGCCGCCGCTGGATTCGCCTTGAAATCCTGGTCAGAACGCAGCCCAGGAGGGGCTATGTGAGTAGCGGTATCAGTACCTTGTGGTCTCCCGAATCGATCCGGACGAACAGCGCACGTCGATGCAGCTTTGCTTTAGCAGCGTTGCGCCGGAGGGCTCTAGTGAAGGGAAAGAAGGGCCACGGATGAGTTCCCTGAGATTTCCTCACATTTTCTTCAGGAGGGGAAACAACACAGACACAGTCAATCGCCGATTCCCAGGAACATATGCGAAAATATGGGACGTGGGGGGAAGACGAACATCCAAACAATATAGTAGGGAATTTCGGGGAATACTGTTATTTGTGTCAATTTCGTTGTGTGTCCCTGGGCCCCTTCGTCAATGCCTGCGCATGTCGGCCTGGACGGCCACGATGTTTGGTAAATGTATTCTAAGGTGCACGCGGCCATACTCTCACCCCTGTCCCGTAGAGCCGACCTCCTGCTCCGCGACCCGCCTCTTCACCTTCGCCTCGTGGCTCGTCAAAACCAAGTTCGCTACCGACGATGCTGACGCGAAAGGGTGTGGGAGTACTGCCCCAACACGTCAGGCGCACGTGTTGGGGCACTTGTTGGGGCAGTGCTCGCATCCTTGCTCGTCCTCGTGTCGCGAGCACAGGCACGACGCCGGGCATGTGACAGTTGTCGGCCCTCGGGGGCCCAGGCCGGGGCCCCGGGGCCGTCAGACGACGGCTCATGGGATGGACATTTGGTTTCTGCACGGGCCAGCCAGTTTTTGAGAGTCTTCTGCCCCTGCGGGCCCTTGCCGGGCCTCTGGGCCCGTGGCTGCGCTGCGCCTGGGAGGAGCCGCGTCGGGTCGACACAAACGTAAACGTGAAGTCGGGCGTGTTCCTCTACAGGAGGGATGCTCAAAGGCAGTAAAACATGATGTGGGGACGATGTGTTTTTGAATGATTGCTGTTTGATGATGTTTGGTGATGTGTTGGCTATGTTCTAGTTTTCTTTCAAAATCCGCCTGTAGGAGGACATTCCCGACTTAACATAAACGTTCGGAAGTCCGCGCAGAAATCTCGGGTCGGCGCAGTGCCACTCCTGGCGGCGCCTTTGGCGCACTGGTCGCGCCACGGAGGGGGTGATCCAGCGCCGAGCCAAGACGTCCGCGCTAGCCTCCCGTTGTCACGTCGTCGGAAGCGGGACCTCGCTGGAGCTGCTTCCGTCCGGCTATCCTGACCATGCCATACGGTGGAGACCCATGCCAAGAAGCACCGTGCGCTCAGATGGTTTTGCCATGGAAGGCGTGCCGTCCCCACACCAGAAGTCAGTGGACGCCCCGGGGTCTCCGGGAGCCCCTGCGGCACTTCCCCTGCCAGATCCGGCTGTCACAGACGGCTGCCCTGGTGTCTCGTGTGGTGCCGTATACTTCACGCTGGCCACAGCGGGGGGGGGGGGACTGTGCTCAGGAGCAAAAAAAGGACGTACACGTGTACATGAATCCACGCTGGTTTCGAGAGTTCGCATTGCGCGAATATTCGTATCGCGCGGCAGGTCTCGCGGGTCAAGGGGCCGTGTTCATGTACATAGCTGGGCGCGTACGTCCCTTGCGGGCTCCCTATGTGCAGGAGATCCGAGAGACCACGAGCCACGAGGGGAGACCACGAGCCTTCGGCAGCAAGTCGTTTACTCCGCCATTAGCATGGCTCAGCGCCGATCGACGTCTGGGAGTCGACGAGATAGCGCCGATTTAGCGCCGAGTTAGCGTCGACTTAGCGTAGATGCAGCGTCGATGATCGCCGATTTGGCGCCGATTTAGCGTCGGATAGCGTCGGCTCAGCGTCGATTTAGCGTCGATGAGCGTCGACTTAGCGTCGATGAGCGCTGATTCGCAGGAGCCCACAAGATGGTATAGGAGGCTGCCATGAGTTGCCGCCGAACGAACCGCGACCACGGACCACGAACCACTGCCAGCCACCACGACCAAAGACTGCGAGTCACCGATTGGGCCTCGCGCGACGTACCCCCCAGCCTTGCACGCATGACTGTAGAGGCCTCCCGCCTGTGCCGCCGAGCCTGGACGGTCCGGGGCGATCCGGGCGGACTCGTCCTGCTGAGCAGTTTGTGAACTGATACCTCGAGGAGGCAGGAGAGGGGAAGAGGGGGGAGGAGGAGGAGCAGAGGGAACAGGAAGAGGAGGAGCAGAGGGAACAGGAGGGGGAGGAGGAGGAGGAGGAGGAGGAGAAGGAGGAGGAGGAGGAGGAGGAGGAGGAGGAGGAGATTGGGCCCTGGCGGACAGGGTTCTGGGGGGGAGCGTTGCGCTGGGGGTCCTCGATGCGACCCAAGCTCGAGGCTGCCGTGCCTCCCCGACGGCACAGACGTTCGGGCCACGGCGGGGGAGGGCAGTGCAGCCACCGCCTGCCGAGGGCCCCCCGGAGGTAGACATCCCCCGGGCGGTGGCTCTGGACGGATCCCCGCCTCGCGCCAGTCGGCGGTGCGCCCGGGGGGGGGGGTTGAAGGGAGAGGGGTTTGGCCCTCGCAGAGAGCGGCGGGGCTTCTCGGAAGCCCTCCGACGCCCCGAGGAGCCGCTCTTGCCGTCGAGGGAGGCTCACAGGGCACCTTTGTGTCGAGGCCCGGTGCCCTCCGAGCCGTCTGAGATGGTGGGCCCGTCTTCCACCAGCACAGCACCACCATGGGTTGGAGGGGGGGGGAAGGAGGAGGAGGAGGAGGAGGAGGAGGAGGGAGGAGGAGGAGGAGGAGGAGGAGGAGGAGAGGGAGAGGAGGGAGAGGAGGAGGAGGATAGGAGGAGGAGGAGGAGGAGGGAGAGGAGGAGGAGAGGGAGGAAGAGGAGGAGGGGAGGATGAGGAGGAAGAGGAGGAGGATGAGGAGGAGGAGGACGAGGAGGAGGAGAGGAGGAGGAGGACGAGGAGGAGGAGGAGGAGGAGAGGAGGAGGAGGAGGAGGAGGAAGTGGAGGAGGAGGAAGTGGAGGAGGAGGAGGAGGAAGAGAGGAGGAGGACCCCCTCCCCCTTCAACTTATGGTGGTGGTGGTGGAACAGAAACCCATCATGAGAAGGCCCGCCCCCTATGCCATGCCCCCCAGGCGCGCCGTCGATTAGCGTTCCCAAAGAAGACCTCCCAGGAGTTGCTTTCCGGAGCTGGCCAGCAGACCGACGTACATCCGATGCAAACATGGTGTCAAGGTGCCGCGCGAGGCCTCTTGAATTTCCCTCATGACTTCACCGCTCCATCGGAAACCTCCCAGCAGTTGCCCCCCGCAGCAGTTCCCTCCGTTGGGCTTACGCCGCACCAGTTCCCATACATCGGGCTGCTCCAATTTCGTTTGATGCGTGGGCCCTGGAGGTCTGGACCACTTCGCTAGGATTGGTTTTCGGTCCCGAGTTATTGTTTGACTGTCCCAGGGCCCAGCGAGGGCCCCCTCGAAGGCCGAGAATTGGCAAAAACCGCACGCTCGCATTCTGGTTGGAGCGTCGGATCTCTGGGCAATTAGCACTGGCGAGGAGCTCGGCATGGCCTTGCCGGTCACCTGCGTGCGCGCGCAGCCCGCGGAGCCCCGGGCCTTGAGGCAGAGCAGGGCGCTGGCCGTGCTGGGGTGCGCCGACGCGCCCCTCGAGACAGAGTTCTCGAGGGAGGACCTCGGCGGGGGCAGCTCGGCGGCGCGCGAGGGCGGCAAGCGAGAAGGGTCGAGGTGTTCGGGTTCGAGGTTCGAGGTTTTCGGGCGCGTTCGTCGGTTCTCGGCGGCCTTCCATCCACGAGATGCACTCCAGCGGCTGCGCCTCGCCGCGTGGCGTCTGGGTGCCCAGAGTGTCCCGAACGGCGACAGGGGAGCCGAGTTCTGACCCAACAACCACCAGGCGTCTGAGAGGGGCAGGCCTTGCGTTGTGAAAAAAAACACGACTGGCGGGTTTTCGCTACTTTCAGCCGTCGAGGGCCCCGACCGAGCCTCGGGACCGTTAAAAAACGACTCGGGGTAAACAACGAGTACGGGGGAAGGGGCCGAGACATTTGGGGGTCGACGTTGCGAACAAAAAGCACGGCGTCGGGGGTCGGGGGGGTGGGGAAAGTGAGAAGGAGGAGGCCCCCTCAGAAGGCGGCGGGGCTTCCCATCAGCCCCGCGGCCTTCCGAGGGGTTTTCTGCGTCTTCGGGGAAGGCCTCGAGCAGTTCTCGGAAGGCCAGAGCACTTCCGAGCCCTTTTAGACGGCCTTCTCTTCTCACTTCCCCCTTGCTCGCCGCCGACCGGGGGCAACGATGTGGTGTTGGTGGGAGTGGTCTTAAATCGGGCTTGTCCCTCTACAGGAGGACTATCCAAAAATATTCAAAAAACAGTCTGGGGACGATGTTTGTTGACCATGTTTGGCCATTCTCGAGTATTTTTGATCTAGTTTTTTTCCCTTCCAACATCTGCCTGTAGGGGGACACGCCCGACCTACGAGTGGTCCTGGCCCAGGGAGTCCCCAGCTTTTCTCGAAGAAGAAGACGAAGAAGAAGCGAGCTTTGCGCGGATCTCTTGGATCCGCACTGGGGCCCCCCCGGCGGCGCCTCCGGCGCCTCCTTCCAGCGCTGATCCAGCAAACATGCGCGCGGACCTGCGAGAGACTCTTGGTGTGACCTGTGTTTGTGTGTGTTTGTGTGTGTGTGCGTGTGCTTGTGCGTGTGCGTGTGCGTGTGCGTGTGCGTGTGCGTGTGCGTGTGCGTGTGCGTGTGCGTGTGCGTGTGTGTGGGGGTGTGGGGGTGGGTGGGGGGGCGGGGGGGGGCCCTGTGTGTGTTGCTCCTCTCGTTTCCCCCCGATCTTGGAGCCCCACAGGGCCCCTCGGACCTCGTGATGGGGAGCTCTGGAGGCCGCCTGGGCCTCCCCGGCGATCCCGGGGGCACCTGGGGCCAGGGACGTCTCTCGGCGACCAGCCCAGTGGGGGAGGTGAGAGTCATGAGGGGGATTTACTCGACTCGAAGATCCCCATGTGTGCACCTTATGGTGATGGCATGCTTCGGTAGAAGACATTGTCCTTTTCAATATCTCAGTGTCATCGGATGTGGAAGACGAAGCCGAGAGAGACGCCGACGACTACGACGACTTTACTTGGCGTTTCCTCCTTCTTTCTTCCTCCTCGGTGTCCTCTTATTTCTCTTTCTTTTCCTTTGAACTCCTGTCAGGAGAATCCATCCGTGAAGACGAGAATGCCAGAAAGAACTCCCCCAAACCGGTGGAAGCCCGCGACGCGTGTGTTGTGTGTTATGTGTGTTGTGGGCGCGTGCTGTGTGTGCTGTGTGTTGTGTGTATGTTGTGTGTGCGTGCGTGTGTATATGTTGTACGTCGGGGATCGCCCTTGGGAGGGGGTCTCAAACGAAGCTGCAGTTCTCTAAGAAGCGTGTGCGCAATCAAACTGATGTTCATTGACACGTCCCCCACCGTGCCTTGGCACGTAAAAGGTGGAAGAACTCCAAGTGCTGTCGGAGAGGTTTCTGTCGTCTTTTTAAAAGACTCCCCAGCATCTGGCCCGCATGAAGGTGCGTTCGCGCATCGCTATTATTACCGGGGGGGTCCTGAGCGGCCATGGCGTGTCCTTGACGGCCCAAGAGTCCCACTCAGGGCGTCAAGATAGCCGAATGTACTGCTAAGACTGCCCAAGATGCCTCCAAGACGGCCCATGATGGTCTCCAGACAACCCAAGAGACTTCGAAGACGTCCCAAGAATTCTCCAAGAGCCCCCCCAAGAGGGCCCCAAGAGGCAACATTCATTGATTTCTCAGAGGTGTTTGAAGGGTGCCGCTTGGTGTGGATGTCCCCAAACATCTTGGAATGATATTGGGCAGTCTTGGAGCCTTCTGGGGATTCTCTTGAAAGCCTCATGAGGGCCTCTTTGGGGCTTCTGGGAGCCAAGACAGGAAGTTCTGTGAAACAGCATCTCAAAGCTCGACGATTCCGTCTGCAATGCATGGCCACTGGAGGCCATGCATTGCTTGAGACCACCTGGAAGTGCTGAAACCAGCGCCTCGCCTTGAGGCATCCTCGGAAACTGCTCCGACAGAGAAGGATGTTGAGCACCCAAACAGGCAAACCGCCTGAGACATCCCCCCAATCTGGGCGCGAGCGAGCCCGTGATATACCCCCTGGCGCCCCCCCTTGGAAGTGCTGGAACCAGCACCTCCCTTGAGACATCCTCGGGAACTGCTCCGAAAGAGAAGGATGTTGGGCACCCAAACAGGCAAACCGCCTGAGGCATCCCCCCAATCTGGGCGCGAACGAGCCCGTGATCTGGCGGCCCCCCCTTGGGAGTATTGAAACCAGCGCCTCGCCTGAGACATCCTCACAACGTATGTGTAAGTTTGAGCGCGGAAGTGCCAGGAGCGTGAGCGAGTTTGCATACGAGTGATCCCGAGCATGAGACACCTGAGGAGCGAGAATCTAAGACCGAGCGCAGCTGAGTATGAGTGAGCTTGCATATGAGTGGGTCAACGTGTGAATGAGTCAGAGAATGATGACCTGAGGGTGGGAGGTGTTGAGGGTGGGAGGTTCTCTCGCGTTCCGCGCGGGCTGAGTAATAGCAAGAACCCCACCCTTGGGATATGGGGAAAACACACACCCAGGCACAAGTAAGGGAGGACTCCCAGGAACAGATGCGAACTTATGGGAAGTGGGGGGAAGACGAAAACCCGAAGAATTCAGACAAACAGTGCGAATCCTGGGATTTGTGTGTATTCATCCGTGTGTAACTACCTGGCACCTTTAGAGAAGCGGGTCGCCTCAGAAGGCTCGGAAGTCCCCCGGCCTTCTGAGGGGTGTTCTGAGCCTTCCCCGAGGACGCAGAAAGCCTCTCAGAGGGCGCGAGGGCTTCCGAGGAGCCCCGCCGCCTTCTGAGAAGGCCTTCTCCCTCTCACTCCCCCCCCCCCGCTCGCCACCGAATCTCTAGCGTCACCCAGAACGACGGAGGGGGACTGGCCCACGGGGGCAGGCATCGACCCCCCACCGCCCACTCACCGCTCCTCGCCGCTCGGCGGGGCCCGGATGCCCCGTCTCGCCGAGGAGCTTGGGGTGTTTTGCTATCGAGGGCGCATCGCCGATCTGTCGGCGACTTGTCGACGATAGTCAACCTTCCCTCCCCTGAGCCAGCCCGCCCAAATCTCGGGCCGAACGACAGGGGGGGAAGGAAAGGGGGGGGTACGAGATTTGTCGCGTGCAGCTGGTTTCGGCCCCGCCGATGGGCCCATTCATTGGTACGTGGGCGCCTCTTGGCGCCAGGAGGCGCCAGGAAAACCAGCTGCGTGAGCTGATTCTCTATCTCAATATGGAGCCACCCGATGAGCCCGAAAAGGTCCGAAATGAATTTGAATCGTAACTGTTACTATGAGTCATCGCAGCCATGCTCATCATCGGCATTATCGTCTAAGCGTTCTTAAGTATCACCGTCGTCGCCATCGTGATCGTCACCAGCCAGCCTTAGGGCGATTAAGCATGCCACAACAACCACAATATTGTGGCATGTTTACTACTGCAATGGGGCAGTCGGAAAGACCACCATGTATTCCCCGAAGTTGCGCCCGAAGTTGCGCCCGAAGTTTGTGCCCGAAGTCGCGTTCACCAAATGCGTTGCCCGAAGTGATGCCCGAAATGATGCCCGGAGTGATGGCCGAAGTGATGTCCGCATTGGTATGGTGCGACACTGTCCTCGCGACGCGCTTCTCTCAGAAACTGCGCCAACGACGGACTACGGCGACGATGTCGGCCCACGAGCCCCAAAATGGCTCTTGTCGACTGGGGCGCATGCCTGGACAGACTATTCTCGAGTAGGAGATCGACTACAGAATTGATTTACCCCTGAATTGATTTTCCCCTGAATCTGCGAGAAAATCGTAGGATGCTCCGTAGATCTACTGAGCATTGTTTTCCCCTGAATCTGCGAGAAAATCGTAGGATGCTCCGTAGATCTACTGAGCATTGTATATCATTTTAGTAGTTTCGATGAAGAAATCAATTTCGGGGTCAATCAATTCTGTAGTTAGTCGATCCACTAATATTCGGGCCTCAAGATCGCCTAGACTTTCCCAGAGCTCCGCAGTCTGCGACGCCGATTCGACTCGCCCCAAAATTCGCGCGCCTCATGATGAAGCTGACGGGTACTCCAGATTTCGTAATAAAGGGAGGGGGGTCTCATTTCGGGGGGGGGTCTCTTCCAGGCTATCTTGGAGGGCCTGGGGGGGTCTGGGGACGATGTTTTGGAGGGTTCTCCCACGAGGGGGGGTCTGAAATGGCTTGTCTCGGATGGTCCAGACCCCCTCCCTTTTATTACGACATCTGGAGTACCGAGAACGATCAACGAGAACCCTGAGTTGCCGACCTTTTGTCTTGTTCAGTCTCGCTCGCGGCGACGGCAACCCGCGTTGTCTCTCCCTCTTCGAATCCGCGGACATCATTTCGTTCTCACAGAGTGCCCCGCAAAGCAACCCATGAACACATGTGTTAGATTTCGGCGCCGATAAACGTCGGCATCGAATGTGCGCATAACGATCTACCCTGCCCTTTGCTATCCTACCCGTTCGTCCACGGTCTACCCTACCCTTTGCTGTCCCACCCTTTCGTCGCCCCTGGCAGACCGTTACCCCTCAGGACCGGTTGCAGCTCATCTTCAGGGCCATCGAGCAGGAGCACTTTCGGAGCAATCCGCGTTCTTTTTGTTCGTGTTTTTTGTTTGCGTCTGGGTTCACGAACCTTACATCTATACCTATACCCGTTTTCTCTTGAAATTTGCGTCAGAGGAAGCCGCGTATCGCGTGGGCGGCGGCGTTGTGAAAGAGCGCGCGTCGCAAGCCTTTTGAGTTGATTGTCTTGTCCTCTATTGGACGTAGGTGGTCGCAGCAGATGTCCCACCCTGTTGCGGAAACCAAGAGAACACATGTATAGGTATAGATGTCTGTGTGCATGTTTCGCAAAACATCTATACCTAACATTGCCCGTACCTAATTTCTCTTGGCAAGTCTCTGACATCGCTCACATCCGTGATTTCTTGGGGGCGCCATTGCAGCCCGCAGCAGCGGGGTGATGATGGGCGCGGTGACTGCGGTATGAAGAGCCTGCCCTGGGTAAACCCCAAAGGGTGGGGGACAAAAAAGCACACACGGACACAAGGAACCGTCGATTCCGAGGAACATGTGGAAACCCTGGGGAGTGGAGGGGAAGACGCAAGAGTCCGGAAGATGTAGCAGATACGGGGAATCCTGTGTGGACCCCGGGTATGTGTCTGCTTGTTTGTGCGTGTCCTGGGGGCCCTTCGCTGGATGGACCCCGGGTCCGGGGGCCGATCCTGAAGCACGACGTCGGTCGTCGCCGTCCCTCCGCAGAGAGTGCGCGTCTACGGCACCACGGCGCCTGGCCAGCCCCGTCCTGCGCCCCGGGGTCCAGCCCTTTGCTGGATGGGCCCCAGGTCCGGGGGCCGATCTTGAAGCACGACGTCGGTCGTCGCCGTCCCTCCGCAGAGAGTACGCGTACGGCACCACGGCGCCTGGCCAGCCCCGTCCTGCACCCCGGGGCGGTGTTCATAGGCCGCTCTGGTCTCGCCTGGGAGGGCGTGTGCAGCACGCCAGGGCCCGAGGATGGCCAGGGCAAGGACCGGTGGTGGTGCACAGTGCGCAGGTCCCAGACATCCGACGATTTGTGTGCTTTTTCGATGCGAGGCGAGGTGATCCCGACCTCATCCCCGGGGCCAGCTTTCGCCCTAATCTTTGTGTTGATGGCCCCCGGGCCCAATAATCCAGGCCTCCCAAGTGGGTTCCGAGAGATTTGGGTCGGTCGGAGGATCGCGCCGCATCGCTGATTTATCGCCGATGCGAGTGGGTGTGGAGCCCGATTTCCTCCACGCCGACCGCGCCAGTGCATCCCCGACGTCGCCGATGCATCGGCGATGCAGCGAGATTCCCCGACTCCACTGATTCGGACCCCATCCAGGAGGCTTCTGAAGAAGGGGCCCCAGAGGCCGAAGTCGATGAAAGCCTCCCGGATTGGAAAGCCCACATACGGCCGCACCGAGGTGTACGATCGAGGTCGCTTCGGGGAGGGTGCTCTCATGCCCTTCGTGCTGGTTGGATGTTCCTGGCTTGTGCATCCCGGAGGAGGGCACCCTCGACTGTCCTCCGACCTGGCCAGCGCGGAAGGTCTCACGCTCCTGAAGGAGGCCTTTCTGTCCTCGGCCCCGCGGCACCGTCGGAGCTCCGGGCGCCCCTCTGCGCGCAGGAGTGCAACCTCTTCGGCCTCGTCGAGCGGGGCCACGTGGTCGACGCGGTGCCCGTGCCGGCGGGCGCGGAGCCCTGCGGCCCCGATCGCGCCGACTCCCTCGGGTGGGTCCCCTGGCTGCCCTGGTGGGTGACCGGGTCGGGCGACCTCGGGCCTCCCGGACGGCGTCCGATCGGGGGCGGCGAAGAGAGGGGTGATGACCAGGGGGAGGATCGGGGGGGCCATCCTGGCGGGGGCCACGATCTTTCCCCAGGCCTCCTGGCGCCCCTTTTCTCAGTTCATGGCGTCCCTGGCCCCCCCGCTGGGCCGCGCACGTGCCGCCGGTCATGGTTTGCAAGCCCCCCCCCTCTCTCTTGGACACCCCCATTCTTGGCCGCTCCCGTGGGGCCCTCACCGGGCCTCGGGACTGTCAAAAACGGCACGTGATGCAGGGGGTCGAGATCTTGGGGGTCGACGTCGTAACAAAAATCACGACGTCGGGGGTCTGGGCACCGCCGACGCATCGACGATGCGGCTCAATGTGGATCCCGATTTCCTTCACGCTTACGTCGCCAATGCATCGCCGACGTCGCCGATTCATCGGCGGTGGCATCGGGGCGATGCGGCGCGATCCTCTGACCCTATCTATTCATTCGGACCACATTTAGGAGGTCTCCGAGTGGAGAAACATCACGAGGACCATGACCAATATGCTGCGCAGTCTTGTCGACGCCGATCTTGGCCATAGTCCATGATGCCCATTCTGGTCGTCGCCGATCCGCGCAGGATAGGTATTCACGAGTATACTGATGATGACCAAGATGCGCGATGCCGACCTTCGTAAGGTCGGCACCGACGTTCCCGCGTTCGGTCTTGGTCATGGGCCTCGTTTTCTTTCCGTCCACGGGCGATGGGGTGCGCCCCGGGGCGCGTGGGGCGAGGCGCTGGACCAGGAGGAAGAGGAGGAGGAGGAGGAGGAGGCGGAGGAGGAGGAGGAGGAGGAGGAGGAGGAGCAGGAGGAGGAGGAGGCACGGCGCGCGGAGGAGGAGGAGGAGGAGGAGGAGGAGTTTTTTTGCTAGGAGCTGCAGGCAGCACAAGCATCAGGAAACCTGAGATTGAACGCCTGGTGAAACAGACACGGATCACGAAGAGATCCGACCACCCCCACTGCAAGAGGAGGTTGAGGGTGTAGGGGCACTGTGCCCACTGTACCCTTCACCCCAGGAGCTGATTCCGCACCTGGGAGGCAATCCCTTCCTGAGGCGCTGCAGCGAAGTGTACTGCGCCTTGACAAGATCATGTCGACCATATTGGTCGACTTCACACAAACCTGTTAGAAAACCAGGATTCGCAGAGGACGTGTACCGTCCGCATTTACTACAAAAGCAATATGAGCCTTTCTCCCACAAGTCGTGGGAGGTGTGAAGCATCTTGCCAAGAAATCCCCTGCCTTCAAGACGCCTCGGCGGGTGCGATCCACAGACAGTCCTGAAAAGAGCCTCATCTATGGGCGGAAGCCTTAAAAACTTATCCGAGAGCACAACAGCTCCTGGCCTCCTTCCTCCACCTCCACCAGAAGCTTCTGCATCAGGAGGCTCTTGGGCGGGACCGGGGGGGCGGGCGGGGCAGGCAGTCCTCAGGTAGGCCATGACGGATGAGCTGCTGGAGAGGACCAGCTTGCCACACCTGAGACAACGCCAGCCCGCACCTATGGCCTGAAAACGGTGGGAGGAGGCTGCCGCTGCCGCCTCGCGCCTCTTAGTCCGCCTCTCATCGGGAGGGACTGGCACGGGCTTGACCTCTCGGAGCGGCACACGAGGACATGAGGCAGCAGCAATTGACAAACTCGCATTGCGGAGAAGAACCGACTCAGCCTTGGCGACGAGGTCGAGAGCTCTCTTGCAAACATCAGGGGCGATCTGGCAAAGCTCGCACCTAGAGTCCGCAAGGCCGTCCGCTACTGAGTTGATGAAGATAGCCCCAGGGGGGGCACCTGCAGCCAGCCTCTGAAACTTAGTCTCATCTTCGGCCAAGTGGGACGGTACATGCTGCAGCTCAAAACTGCTTGAACGCACGTGCAGGAGAGCATACAGCTCATGCCACAAATCCGCGTGCTCTAATTTAAAACAGTGGTGTCTCCCTTTGCTGAGGGATCGAACATGATTGATGTGATCACACCAGATAAAAAGATCCGCTGAATGGTCGACAGCCCTAACGCACTCGACAATAGCACACAACTCGGCCCTCGGCACAGACTGCTTAGGGCTGTCGACCACACCGGTGCACCCCGAGTCCCAACCTAGGCCATCAAGACCTTCAGGATCCAGGCGTGCAAAGGCCCAAGACACCCGCCGAAGAAGTGAGCTCTTTGACCACATGCCCCCTGAGCCATCGACCCCATAAATGCCCCCAGGGAGGTGCGTGCCCTCAGGCCGTCGAATCCAGACATGGTCCTTGGACGAGGGAGGAGGAGGGAGCTCCAACCAAGCAAGGGGGACCAGTCCACGGCACCAGAACACTGGGCAGCTACCAACCTCCTGGAGGGCTTCGGGGATCAGCTGGTTGGTGGCCACGACTTCGGGCGGGGGGGGCTGACTGCCTACTTGGAGAGCCCAAGCCTCCTCATACGTGTTTCACTGGCAGCTCCAAAATCTATGGGAGCTGGTCTCCGGAGCCGCCTTGCACCTCTGGCAGTCCGGATCCGAGCGGTGAGGAGGAGGAGGAGGAGGAGGAGGAGGAGGAGGAGGAGGAGGAGAACCGGCAGCTGGCTGATTCGCTACTCCAGATGTCGTAATAAAAGGGAGGGGGTCTGGACCCTCCAAGACAAGCCATTTCAGACCCCCCCTCGTGGGAGAGCCCTCCAAAACATCGTCCCCAGACCCCCCCAGGCCCTCCAAGATAGCTTGGAAGAGACCCCCCCCGAAATGAGACCCCCCTCCCTTTATTACGAAATCTGGAGTAACCCCAGGCCGCCGTGAGCGAGACATGGGACGGACGGCGTAGACTACCCCGTGAGCTCTCTCTGCTCGTGAAGTCGTCGCCGTCGTCGTCGTCGTCGTCGTCGTCGTCGTCGCCGTCGCCGTCGCCGTCGCCGTCGCCGTCGTCGTCCTCCGAGGTATCCCCCCTTCCGTCCGGCCAGCCCCGAGGTGAGCGGCGCGGACGGGTACCTTGGGCTGGGCCTCTCCGTGCATTTTGCTTTCGCCCACCACGCGATCGCGTGGCTCTGCGCACCGGCCCTGCTCGGGCTCCTGGCGAGCCTCCTCCGCAGCCAGTACGACTCCGCCGGCGACGAGGTCCTGCTGGTCTACGCGTGTGCCGTCAGCTGCTGCCTCGCCGGCGCCTTCTCCTCCTGGGCCCGGTGGCAGAAGAGGATGGCGCTGCAGTGGGGCTTCGTGCCGGAGAAGGCCTGCCGCGCCGTTTTCACTAAGGGGAGGTTTACTACAGAGAGGTTCGCCCACCGCCGATGTGAGGAACATTCCAGAGGCCTCGCGCTGTGCGCAACAGCGGCATCATCCAGTCCACACGTTCGCCCTGTCAGATGTGGGACGGCGCTCGCGCGGCGATGTTCCGAGGTCAGTCCGGCGTGGGTCCGACGTGAGTCCGAGGCCGACCCGGTATTAGTATTCAGTCGGGCTTGTCCCCCTTCAGGGAGATTTTCGAAGAAACATACAAATTACCCCCAGAATAGTCAAAAAGTAGTCAAAAAATAGTCTGGGGACTATTTTTTGAATATTTTTTGGCCTTCTTGGGGTATTCTTGGGGTATGTTTCGTTTTTCGTCGAAAATCCCCCTGTAGGGGGACACGCCCGACATAATACTAGTAGGGACTCAAGTCGCGGCGCGAGGCCTCCCGAGTTTCCGCATGACAGGATGACTCGTGCCAGAGCGCTCTGGCATGCTCTCAGAGCGTCCCGGAAACTTCTGGAGCAGCCGCGGAGCCGGAAGCATCCTTCGGGGACGGGAAAGAGGTGGGTGATGACCAGGGGGGGGTGGATATAATGGCGGGGGCCATGATATCTCCCCAGATTTCATGGCGCCTCATCTTATTTCATTACGTCCCTGGCCCCCCCGCTGGGCCGCGCACATGCCGCCGGTCATGATTTGCACCCCCCCTCTTGGACGCCCCCCTCTTGGCCGCTCCCGAATCCTGCAGGACAGCCAACTCTCAGAGATCCCCGATTCCTCTTGATCCGGTGTTGTCCTGCTCTGGCTTCGTGCCATCGTCGCTTATTGAGACCACCCAGCCGTTGATCCCTGAAGCTCGCCAGCAGGCGGCGGGGCTTCTCAGAAGCCCTGTGGCCGTCAAAGAGGCCATCTGATTATATTCGGGGGAGGCGTAGGAAGCTCCTCAGAAGGCCAGAGGCCTTCCGGTCCTTCTTGAAAGGCCCGCCCCCTCTGCATTCCCCCTTGGCGCGCCGCCGGTCAGCGTTCCCACGAGGCTCTGCCGGGAGTTGCCTCCTGAGGCTCGCCAGCAGGCCGACGTAAATCCGACGTACATACGATGCAAACAGGGTCTCAAGATGCCGCGCGAGGCCTCCTGGATTTCAGTATGACTTATAGTCGCCACTGATAGTAGTAAGGATTATCAACTTCCTATGGGTACCCTTGCATAATTGCCTCTTGGGTCATCTTCGGTCCATCCTCAACTACTTTCGATAGCCAGCCCCGTTCGAAAAGCTTCGGCATGGACCTCTGAGGACCTTGCATCCTTGCCGCGCATCCTTACTATCAGTTTTGACTGTACTCTTGGCCACTCGCAGAGGGGGGGAAGGGGAGGGGAAAGGCTCCTTAGAAGCACTCCTGCTTCTCAGAAGGCGCGGGCCTCTCTACAGATTAGGGCCCGCGCCTTTAAGAAGCAGCCTCCTTCTAAGAAGCCTTTCCCCTCCCAATGTCCCCCGTCTGCGCGCCGCCACGGTCGGACCGAGTTCTCAGATCGAAGTCTCTTCGGAGAGGACACCCTGGTGTCATTCGTGCCTGTTTGGATCTTCTTGTGCATCCTGGGGTGATTTGGCCAGCGGAGGGTCTCCTGTTCTTGAGGATGGAGGAAGGAGGACGGAGGAGGAGGATGGAGGAGGAGGAGGAAGAAGAGGAGGAGGAGGAGGAGGAGGAGGAGGAGAGGTGGAGCAGGTGGAGGAGGAGGAGGAGGAGGAGGAGGAGGGGAGGAGGAGGAGGAGGAGGAGAAGGAGGAGAACGAGAGGAGGAGGAGGAGGGGGAGGATGAGGAAGAGGCGGAAGAGAGGAGGAGTAGAAGGATGGAGAGAGGAGGAGAGGACGAGAGGAGGAGAGGACGAAAGGCGGAGGAGGAGGAGGGAGAGGAAGAGAGGTGGGGAGGAGGAGAGGAGGAGGAGGAGGAGGAGGAGGAGGAGGTGGAGCAGGTGGAGGAGGAGGAGGAGGAGGAGGAGGAGGGGAGGAGGAGGAGAAGGAGGAGAACGAGGAGGAGGGGGAGGATGAGGAAGAGGCGGAAGAGGAGGAGGAGTAGAAGGAGGAGAGGAGGAGAGAGAGAGGAGGAGAGAGGACGAAAGGCGGAGGAGGAGGAGGAGGAGGAGAGGAAGAGAGGGTGGAGGAGGAGGAGGAGGGGGAGGAGGATGAGGAGGAGGAGAACGAGGAGGAGGAGGAGGAGGAGGAGGAGGAGGAGAACGAGGAGGAGGAGGAGGAGGAGGGGCCCCCGTGGGCCTCTTGATGTGGTGCTCTGGAGGCCACCTGGGCCTCCCCAGGGTCCTGGGGACACCTGGGACCAGGGACGTCTATCGGCGACCAGCCATGGGGGGAGTTGGGAAGCCGCGGGCCTTCCTGGAAGGCTCGGAAGTCCCCCGGCCTTCTGTCAGGCGATCGCAAACAGTCATCAAGGGACGTGGATTAGCGACGGGTCCCGTTTCCATGGGAAATCGCGGATGTCTGCAGCCGAGCGGGGCGGCACCGGCCGCATTTTGGGGGGGCACCTCCCCCGATCCATGGAGTTGGCGACCGTGCGCCACATCCATGGATCGCCAATTTATGTTCGCGCGCCCCCGATTCGGAGAGGTGTTCTGAGCCTTCCCCGAAGACACAGGGAGCCTCTCGGAGGGCGCGAGGGCTCCTGAGAAGCCCCGCCGCCTGCTGAGAAGGCCTTCGCCCTCTCGCTTCCCCCCTCCCCCGCTCGCCACTGAGTCGTTGGCGGCACCCAGAGCGACGGAGGCGGGCTGGCCCCAGGGGGGCATCGACCCCCAATCGCCCATTCACCGCTCCTCGCCGCTCGGGGCCTGGATGCCCCGTCCCGCCGAGGAGCATACCTCCTCCCCTCCTCCTGCTCCTCCTCCTCCTCCTCCTCCTCCTCCTCCTCCTCCTCCTCCTCTTCCCTCTGCTCCTCCTCCTCCTCCTCCTCCTCCTCCTCCTCCTCCTCTTCCTCCTCCTCCTCTTTTTTTCCTGGAAAGTAACTTGAAGCTTCAATATTGGCAACAGGTTCACGGATGCAGGGCGGGTCGTTTTCAACATGTGGTTCTCGTCTCAGCGCCGCTCACAGTCGCTTAAAACATGTGCAATAGTTTCACGGGATGAGGGCGGGTGGTTTTCAAAATGTGGTTCTCGCCTCAGCGCCGCGTGCATTTGTTTTAGAAGTTTGCCAGAGCTTCACGGATTACGGTAAGCCTGTTTTCAAAAGATCTGTCCGGCTTTAGCGCCGCAGACATTCTTTGCACATGTGCAAGAGTTTCACGGATTGAGGGCGGATCGTTTTCACAATGCGGTTCCCGCCTTAGCGCCGCGCACAGTCGTTGATACAAATCGCACGAGTACCACGGATGCCCATGATCAAAGTAGCAGAAATGGTGTTTTGGAAGCACTCAGGATTATGAGGGTGCAACAGTTACGTTCATTCGCGGTGTTGAAGTCCCAAGAATGGCGTTCTAGTGCGATTCAGGATCGTCAAAACGCAACAGTCAGGTTGATCCGTGGCGTTGGAATCCCGAGAACAATATTTTGGCATGCTTCAGGGTCTTCAAACGGTTGCCTTCCAACGAGGCAGCTCCCTCAATGGAACTGAACCGTTGTAGAAGCCTGGGAAGAGGGAGCTTGAAGGGAGAGCTTATTCCAACATCGTTGATGATTCTTGGGTTTGCACTGGTTCTCCTCATCCTCCTCCTCTCCTCCTCCTATTCCTCCTTCCCCTCCTCCTCCTCCTCCAACTCCTCCTTCTCCACTCCTCCTCCTCCTCCTCCTCCTCCTCCTCCTCCTCCTCCTTGAGAGCGCACCCTCAGATCTGACGTAGAGCGAAACAAATAACAACACCGTGATAAACCACTGCCAGGCAGGAGCCGCTGCCAGCTAAAGACGTCACACCTGGTCAGAAAGTGTTGTTGTTTCACCCACGGGATCATCGTATACTCCAATGCTCATGCTTTGCGGGCTCGGTGGGCCCCTGGGAAGCTGGAGGAAGCCAAAGTGTTGTGCCCCGGACCCTGTCTGCGCCACTTTGCCACATCGGTATGCGAGGGCCTCGGGTTGCGAACTGGACGAAAACGCCCGGCTCGCAAAAGCTGAGACGCGAGGAGCTCAGGATATCGCCGATGGATCAGCGATACGCCCCTGTGCCAGGGGACACATCAAGCTTGGCGTCGCTCGGACGTGTGCATTTTTTCTCGGCGAGGCCAGCGCAAGAACTGTGAACCATTCGGGCATCTTGGATCACCTAGCGAAGAATACAGACACAAGCGAATGGACGTTCTAGCGATGGCAAGCTGGCCCAACCCGACTTTACACGGGGTCTGGTTCAGGTTTTGGACTTGAGGCGCATGTGATGCATACCAGGGTATGCTGGAATGCCTCTCGGGGGCCTCTGGAAGGTGTCTTGAGGGCCTCTTGGAGACCGCTGAGGTCCTCCTGAGGGCCTCTTTGGGGCCTCCTTGGAGGTGAAACTCGAGCGGGGCGGCGACCATGATAATTCCGTTCCGGAGCGTTCCATGACGCTGTCAGAGCCTTCCCGAGCGCTCTGAGGAGGCCGCGGATGCCCGAGGCATCCTCCAGAGCCAACGGCTCGGCGAGAGATCCCCGATGGATTCTCGTCCGAGCTTGCCCCCGTCCTGGGTGAAAGGTGCCCCCGGGTGAGGGGAACCTCTGGCCCATCCTGTCTCCTCCTCCCTCCTCCTCCCTCCTCTTCCCTCCTCCTCCCTCCTCTTCCCTCCTCCTCCCTCCTCCTCCTCCTCACTATTCCTCTTCTCCTCCTCCCTATTCCTCCTCCTCCTCCTCCTTCTCCTCCTCTTCCTCCTCTTCCTCCTCCTCCTCCTCCTCCTCCTCCTCCTCCTCACACTCGGCGGCGAGCGAGGTGGGGGAGAAGGCCTTCTCAGAAGGCGGCGGGACTCCGCTGACGCCCTCGCGTCTTCCGATGCAAGTTTCCTTTTGGCGTCTCCGGGGAAGGCGGAGGGAACTTCTCAGAGGGCCGGTGGACTTCCGAGCCCTTTGCGAAGGCCTTCTCGCTTCTCTCGGGGGCCCCCAAACGGGGTGGTGACCACACCGTGCGGTGAGTCGGTGGGGATTCGGGATCACCGCACGGGACTCTGACGACTCGGGCCGTCCTCCGAGGATGAGGTGCCTCCGGGGCCCCGAGACCGTTTGGGCGACGCACCGCGCGGGGAGGCCTGGGGGGGATCTCGAGGCCACCGCGCGGCCCGCCACCGCACCGCTTCGGGGCTCCAAGGTCTCACTCTTCCGCCCCCGCGCTCGCCGCCGACGCGAGGCCCGCCGGCGGGCCGCGGGCTCGGCGCCCGGAGCCGCCGCGGAGGCGGCGGGCGCCCCGGCCGAGGCCCCCCGCGGCGCGGCCGGCTGCTGCCGCCGGGTGCTCGCGCCGGCGGCCGTGCTGGCGGCCTCGCTGGGCCTGCTGCCAGTCGGGGGCGTCCACGGAGGGGTGTGCGTCGTCGAGGGGGTCCAGGCCTCCCATATTCAGAACAGGAAAAAACACATAAACACAAAGGGTTTTGTTGGTTCTACGCTGGAATGGGGCGTCGTTGAGAGGGTGCCTGTCCACCCCCGAGACATCTGAGATGTCTCGGGGGTGGACAGGTCTCCTACCCTGACGCGTCGATGAGCGAGTTGGCCGTTTTCGGTTCGCGGGAGGGCGTCGCGGCCGTGATTGGTGCGGGTCCAGGTCCGTCGGTGTCGGTCCCAGGCCATTTTCGTTGAAGGGAGGTTTGCTAAAGGGAGGTTTGTCCACCGCCGAATGTCAAGCGGTGGCGAAGCGTCCTGGCGCGCCTAGAGGCCCACCAAGCAATGTTCTAAGAACCCAAATGTTCTTAGAACATGTCTGGTTGGGATTGTTTTGTTTTATCACACCGAGTTTATGTTCTAATAAGCACTGTTTCTTTATTAAAACATTTTTGGGTTCTGAAAACATGTCGTGGTAGACCTATAGGAATGCCGGGACGGTCGGTCCCTGCTCAAAGATGGGGTGCCGAGTAGATGGGGTCGGAGGATCATGCCGCGTCGCCGATGCGTCGCCGATGCATCGGCGATGCGGCTCGATGTGGAGCCCGATTTTTTCCACGCTGGCGTCGCCAGTGCATCGCCGACGTCGCCGATGCATCGCCGATGTATCGGCGATGCATCGCCGATGTGTCGGCGATGCGGCGCGATCCTCTGACCCCATCTGCTCGGACCCAATCTGGGAGTTTTCGTTGTTGCGAGAGGGGGGGGGGGATCGAGGAAGAAGGAGAAGCTGCATATATCAGAGGAAAACGGTGCCGGTACCACTACTCCAGATTTCGTAATAAAAGGGAGGGGGTCTGGACCCTCCAGGACAAGCCATTTCAGACCCCCCCCCCGTGGGAGAACCCTCCAAAACAGCGTCCCCAGACCCCCCCAAGGCCCTCCAAGATGGCCTGGAAGAGATCCCCCCCCCGAAATGAGACCCCCCTCCCTTTATTACGAAATCTGGAGTATGCCTCCTCTCCTCCTCCCTTTATTACGAATCTGGGGTATTCCTCTGCCCCTCCCTTTACTACGAAATCTGGACTACCCTTCCCTCGTTAACCGTCTTTTTGGAGCCCTCGTGGGGGCCTGCGTCGCCGCGGAGAAGGATGGTGTGAAGGCCTGACGGCCGGCGCCGCCGACCCGGAAAGGCATCGACGACGACCAGGAGGGGGAGGAGGAAGAGAAGGAGGAGGCGGACGAGGAGGCGGAGAGGAGGAGGAGGAGGAGGAGGAAAAGGAGGAGGAGGAAGAGAGAGAGGAGGAGCAGGAAGAGAAGGAGGAGGAGGAAATGGAGAAGGAGGGGGAGGAGGAAGAGAAGGAGGAGGCGGACGAGGAGGCGGAGAGAAGGAGGAGGAGGAGGAGGAGGAGGAGGAGGAGGAAAAGGACTTTCCCCTGGGACCCCCCCGCCCCACTGGGGAGGAGGACTTCGGAGGAGGACCGGCGTGGGAGAGGGGAGGGGAGGGGGAGGAGGACCCCCAGGGACGGATGCATATCTGAGGGCGCGTCAAATCCCCCGTGCGTTCCCCGATCGTAGAGGGCCGCGAAGCCTGCGGGGGGGTGGCCGAAACGGGCATGGCGCCGCCTGGAAGGGCGCTGCCGCTTGGGCGTCTTCGATGCAGCTCCACAGGGGAGGCTCGGGTCGTGTCGACCAGCTGCGACCCCGCCAGCGGCGCTCAACTTTGAACGCCGCGGGCGACCTAGACTCGCTCGACGTGGAACGAGTTGGACGTTCCGGAAGAGGCAGAGCGTTCAAGGTTGAACGATCCCCGCGGTGTCAGAAACCGACGCGAACCGGACGTACGGTGCTACGAAGCGCGTGGTGTGTGTGTGTGTGTGTGTGGGTGTGTGTGTGGGTGTGTGTGGGTGTGGGTGGGTGGGTGGGTGGGGGTGGGTGTGGGTGGGTGGGTGGGTGGGTGGGTGGGTGGGTGGGTGGGTGGGTGTGGGTGTGGGTGGGTGCGTGTGTGTGTGTGTGTGTGTGTGTGTGCCAAAACGGTCCGGCGCCGCCATGCCGGCTCTGCCACGGGGGCCTTCGGGGGAACTCTCCCCACGGGGCCACGCAGCGTGTTGAGGGGCCAGGTGAGGAGCAGAGGAGGCATATCTATACGGGCACCGCTGGTCGTCCTGGAGGGCCCTCGTCGCCATGGTCGGATTCTCTTCGAAGTGTTTGTCGGACCACGCCCTGCGAGCGGTCCCAGGAGCAGCGGTGTCGGTATTTCTCCGGTCCCCCAGAGGACGTTATCCTCGTCGAAGGGGGAGGTGGGAGAGGTTTTCGTTCGCTTCTGGGTGTCTTCTGGCCTCGCGGCCGTTCCAGCAGCTGCGCTTCGTCGAGGGTATGTCGGGGGTGCCCGGATCGTCTGGAACGGCCGCCCGAGGCCCGCGTTATGAGCCGCAAGCCACCAGGCGTCGAGGAGGGCGTGAGAGATAGGATGAATCAGGGGTGTGGGTGTGCGTGTGTGTGTGTGGTTGTGTGCGTGGGTTTTTTTTTTGTGTGTGTGTGTGCGTGGATGCGTGCGTGTGTGTGTGTGTGTGTGTGTGTGCGTGTGTGTGTATGTGTGTTTGTGCATGTGGGTGTGCGTCTGAGTGTGTGTGTGTGGATCTCATGGCCAGGGCCACGCCTCGATGTCTCCCAGAGTTCATGCCCCCTCTTCTCTCAAGACGTTGACTGGCCTCCCTGCCTTGGGCCACGATCTGCGAGCCCCTCTCTTCCACGCCTCCCTCATGGACGCCCCCGACGCATTGGACTACTGTCTGTGCGGGTTGGTGGCGTCTCTCTGCGAGGGGTGCCTCGAAGAAAAAAATGTGCACTAAGCTTTCTTTTCGAAGGTCTCCGCGGTTTTTTGGAGTCGGCGCTCGGCCCTCTTGGGCGGTGCCCCTGGCGCCGCCCCTGGCGCCGCCCCTGGCGGGCTCCACGTGCCAGGTCAGGCGCCGATCCAAGAATTCTGCGCGGACCTCCGAAAGTATATGTGCATGCAGATGCTCCCACTTCTAGGTACGCCACTTTTTCCGCTGCCTTGGCGGCAGTCAATGTGCTGCAGGTCTTCGTGCTCGGCCCTCTGCTGAGGGGCATCGCCCGGCACCTCGTGACGCTGCGGCTCTGTGACACGCAGGCGAAGGCCACGGTGTCGTACGCGAGGATGGCCGTCGTCCTGCAGTTTGTCAACGCGTGCTCCATGCTGTTCTGTGTGGCCTTCGCTGCGGAGGACGACTGGCCTTGCCCCGACTCCTGGCCATGCGGCACGACCGAGGTCGGAGAGGAATAGACTTCCGCTTCAAAGAAACATAGATATTATTTCTTTATTGCTTGGGGCATGACGGGCGTCATGGCCCCCGCCCCTCCCCCTATGACGTAACGCTCCCCCCCAGTGCGCTCCGGGCACTGCCGCCGTGCGCGCTGGGATCAGCGTAGGTGTCCACGTAAGAATCCGCATAGGAGTCTGGTCCGCAGTCGTCGTCGTCGTCGTCGTCGTCGTCGTCGTTGTCGTCATCGTCGTCGTTGTCGTTGTCGTCGTCGTCGTCATCGCTCGTGGCTCGTCGCTCATCGTCGTCGTGCGCACGGACGCGGCTGGAGCGTGTTATTTGTTCCGGGCCTATCACGGCAATCATTTGAGGGGGTGTGGAGGGGGTCGATGACATCATGTTTCGCGCCTGCGGCGTCTGGGAATGCCTAGGAATGACGGAGGACGGGTAGCACCAGCATGTAGATGGCGATTTGCACCACAACGCTTGTGTACACCACAGTGCCTGCGTGCACCACAGCGCCTGTGTACACCACACCGCCTATGTACACCACGGCAGCCGCGTGCAACACAGCGTCAATGTGTGCCACCGTGCTCGCGGGCAACAGCTGTTGTGTACACCGCAGCGCCTGCATACACCACATCAGCCGTGTGCAACACAGCACCAGTGTACACCGTAATGCCTGCGTGCATTGCAGTACCTGTGTACACCACGGCGCCTGTGTGCACCACAGCAACCGTGTGCAACACAGCGCCACACTTGCATATCGAATATTCGAAGGAATCCGTATGACAAAGTAGAGCGCTTGTGGATTCCACAGAAATGAAGGCAAAGGAATCCTTATGGACAAAGGAACGCCGCTGGAATCTACGAGTTTTCCCGAGTCCTCCCGCATCACCCTGACTTGTCCCATCTGCGTCCAGGAGGTTCCAGCTAAATTGGCCGTGCGAGAACCAAGTGAACCGATTCAATCGACCATTATGCGGTGCACTGCGCGCTGAATTGCGCACGTGCGCTGTAGCGCCATCCCGCACGACAGGGGGTAAGGAGGAGGAAGAGGAGGAGGAGGAGGAGAAGGAGGAGGAGGAGGACGACGAAGAGGAGGAGGAGGAAAAGGAGGTGGAGGTGGAGGTGGAGGTGGAGGTGGAGGAGGAGGGAAGAGGGAAAAACATCGCATTCGATTATCAGCACTGTCCTGCACGCAGGCACTGGTGTACAGTCGCGCTGCGTTGCACGCGGATGCTGTGGTGTAGACAGGCGCTGTGGCGTGCACAGGCGCTGCGGTGCACGCAAGCATTGTGGTGTACACAGGCGCTCCGTTGCACATGGTTGTTGCGGTGTACACATGTACACCGGCGCTGTAGTGTACGCAAGCACTGTGGTGTACACAGGCGCTGTGTTGCACACGGTTCTTGCGGTGTACGCAGGTGTTGTGGTGTTCGCGCGCTTTGTGGTGCACGCGAGCGATGTGTACAAAGGCGGCAGTGGGGCATATCGCCACCTACATTTTGCTCGCGTCGTCCTCGTCGTCGTCGTCGTCGTCGTCGTCGCTCGTCGCTCGTCGCTCGTCGCGCGTCGTGCGCGCGGGCGCGGCTGTGGTGCCGGAGCCACACGTCGGGGGGGGGCGTTTTGTCATACCCCTCCCCCGCCCCCCCCCCCTCCATGACGCCCGTCATCGCCGAACATAAAGCAACGCTCTCCTACGCAGGCACCCTCCAATGGATTGCTCCTGGGCCTCAGGGGAGGGTGGCGGTGTAAAAGTGACCACTGGGAGCCAGCGCCTTTCTACACCGCAGCCCTCCCTGACGGTACATGCAGAGTTCGTCGGCGGGCGTCGGTGTACATTTTCGTGGCGTAGGACTGCACGAGCATTGCTCTTCGGAGGCCCTGGCCCAAGGTGCCGCCAGGAGTTCCAAGGAGGCCCTCACAGCCTCCAGAGCGCTCCTCACGAGGCCCAGACGGCCCCAGGTGAGCTCCAGAATGGGGTAAAAGGGTGGGGCCTCTTTCGGCCAGGCACCTCTGGCCCCCCTCGAGAAGAGACTGCACATCGGCATTGCTCTTCAGTCAGACGAGCAAGAGGTCATGATAATGATACGTTCGAAGATTTCCAAGCATTCCAGGGTTTGCCAATATGTCAAAATGTCCCGCAGGGGCTGCAGAGACGAGGGCCGCCAGATCTTTTGGAAGTCTTGGATCGCGTCCCCAGCCAAGATTATCACGGCATCATCTTCGCCCTACACTCGTCGGCGAGCCGGGGGAAGTGAGAAGGAGAAGGCCTTCTTCGGAAGGCTCGGAAGCCCCTCAGCCTGCCAACAGAGAAGTGCTGCGAGCCTTCCCCGAAGACACCGGAAGCCTCAGAAAGCGCGAGGGCTTCTGCGAAGCCCCGCAGCCTTCTGTAGGGGAAGAAAATATGACACAAACATAGAACCTCGGAGGTCCGCGCGGATTTCTCGGATCGGCGCTGGGGCCCCCCGGCGGCGCCTCTGGCGCCGCCCCTGGCGCGCTCAGCGCGCCAGGGAGGGGGTCCAGCGCCGATCCGAGAAATCCGCGCGGACCTCCGAGTTGTTATGTTTTTTTGTTTTTTTATTCCGAGAGGGCCTGGGCCTCCTCCTCCTCGGACGCCTCGTGCGTGTTTTTTGGGTCAGAGCTCGGCTCCTCGGTGGCCGTTCGGGACCTGCTGTGCACCCGGGACGCCTGCTCGGCGAGGCGCAGCTGCCGGCATGCAGCCCGCGGCCGGAACCGCCGAGAGCCGAAGAGCACGCCCGGCTCCTCTGACCTCGAGCCCGAAAACCTCGAGCCCAGAATCTCCTCACTTCCCCCCTCGCTCGCCGCCGAATCGTGACGACGTGTTCGCCCCGCTCGGAGACCCGCGGCGAATCTCTCGGATCGGCACCAGCACCCCCTTTGTGATGAGAAGACCCGTTCACACCACGACGCGAGAGTGACGTCGACGTGAATGGAGATGTGGACGTTCTCGCGATCACGCACCCCAACATTGTGCGCTGGCCTGTTTTCGAATACATCTATATCTATAACATAAACAAATATATACCTGCCTGCAGCTCTGCCCAGCTTGAGCACCGGCCTGAAGCTTGGGATTGCGATCGCCTTGGAGCCGCGCGCGTTCGTTCAAACATTGGGAAGAGTTTCACGGATTGAGGGCGGGTGGTTTTCAGAATGTTGTTCTCTAACGCCGCGCACATTCGTTTAGAAATTCGGAGGGGCATCGCGGATTGAGGGTGGCTCGTTTTCAAATGTGGTTATCGCTTCAGCGCCGCGCGTATTCGTTCAAGCGCTATGCAAGAGCTTCAAGGATTGAGGGCGGCTGCTCTTCAAGATGTGGCTCTCGCTTTAGCGCCGCCGCACATTCATTTCTCTGGTTCTCATGGTTAACGTATTAGAAGTGGTGTTTTGCAGCGGTTCAGGATTGCCAGGGCGCGACGGTTACGTTGATTCGCGGTGTTGAAGTCCCACGAATCATTTCTTGGTGCGACTCAAGATTGCCAAGAGGTAACAGGCAGCTTAACTCGTGGCGATGGAGTCATGAGAATGGTGTTTAGGCGCGCTTCAGGATGTTCAGAGGAAATGATTTTTGGTAGGGGCCTGTGAAGAAGGATCTGAGAGGAAGGGTGTAGTTCAATTTCGTTTGTAAGACTTGGCTTATACTGATCCTCTTCCTCCTCCTCTTCCTCCTATCCACTCCCTCCTCCTCCGCCTCCGCATCCGCCTCCTCTTCCTCCTCCCCCTCCTCTCCCTTCTCATCCTCCTACTCCTAACCCCCCATGTGCGGAGGAAGACGTGTATGCAGCATATGCGGAGGGTGTTCTTTCTTCTTCTGCGAGTTGAAGACGAAAGAATCGAAAGACATATACGTTTGGCGCTCCAAGCGGGTTCTTGGATCGGCGCTGGCCCCCTTCTGACGCGCTCCGCGCGCCAGAGAGGGGAATCGAGAGCGGATCCAAGAAATCCGCGCGGACCTCAAGACATTGTTGGTTCCAGCTTGTTGTGGCCCCTCTAGCGAGGGGAGCGGCTGCGTCTCCGAGCGGCTGAGCGTGCAGGTCAGCGATGGAAACGAACGGGGTCGACTGGGCCGACATGCGCACGCAAGCTTCCCGCGTCAAGCTCGCGCGCGAGCGTCCTCCTCTCCCCGCCGTGCGCCGCGCTGGCGGCCCGCGTATGCGCCGCGGCGCCACGCCGCTGCGTCTCCCCGCGCCAGACCCGTTCCCGGCCCCCCGGCGTCGTGATTTTCACGCAGGGTCGACCCCCAGAGGTCTCCATCCCTGCTTTCCCTGGGGCCGGCGTCTCATCCCGTGCCGTGGTTCGACGGTCCAGATGCGTGGTAAGGGCCCCAGGGGGCCATAGATTATAGGAAAAAAACGGTAAGGATGGACCGAATTTCCACCACCACTCCCAGATGTAGGAGAGGGAGGGGGAGGAGGAGGAGGAGGAGGATGAGGAGGAGGAGGAGGAGGAGGAGGAGGAGGAGGAGGAGGAGGAGGAGGTGGAGGAGGGGGAGGAGGGGGAAGAGAAGAAGAAGGGGGAGGAGGGGAGGAGGAGGAGGAGGAGGAGGGGAGGAGGAGGAGGAGGGGGAAGAGAAGAAGAAGGGGGGAGGAGGAGGAGGAGGAGAGGAGGAGGAGGAGGGAGGAGGAGGAGGAGGACCTCCGCATCCTCCTTCTTCCCCGTCCTACCTGTGGTGATCAGAGGTGGTGGGCAATTGGCCCGCCAGCCAACGCGAGGGGGTCTGGGCTTGCGCTCGTCGCTCGAGGTGATCGCGCTGCTGCTGGCCTGCTGCTGCGGGGCGGGGCTGCAGCTGGGCGCGGCGGGCCTCCTCGGGCTCGCGCTGGAGGAGCTGATGGACCAATCCTCCACCACCGCTACCATAGGCAGGAGGGGAGAGAAGGGAGGATGGGGAGCCCCTCCTCCTCCTCCCCCTCCTCCTCCTCCTCCCCTCCTCCTCCTCCTCCTCCTCCTCCTCCTCCTCCTCCTCCTCCTCCTCTCCTCCCTCCTCCTCCTCCTCCTCCTC